TTTTAAAATTCTCTTTAATTGACGGAAATGAGAAAATGTTTTCTCCCTCTGATGGAATGAGTCACTCTGGATTATTTCATTTTCATTCTGCTTATTTATCTCTCTCTCTCTTTCTGATTTCATTAGTGTGATAGATGTTGTCTGGGGGTAATCAGGCCAGATTAGATCAATAGTCCTGACCAGACCAGATCATTCCTTATTAGGAAACGGGTGGACAACCTGCAGCCCGCTCTGTACTCTCCCGCTGCTTCTCCATGGCTTCTGAACCTGCAATCACTTTAGCTGAAACCTGGGAAATGACAGTACGAGTTCTACAATAGATTTAACCTGTCACATTTAATCTACTGGTGAATACACCAGGCTAGAAAGCAGGAGACCATGAGTTCAAGTCCTGCCGTTAGCCATGAAAGCCAACTGGATGACATTGGGCCAGCCCCTCTCTCTCCACCCAATCCACCTCGCAGAATTGTTGTGGGGAAAATAAGAGGAGGAGGAGGAGGAGGAGGAGGACGTGTTTTCTGTCTGGAGTTATCTGTAAAAATCATAAAGGTGGGATACAAACCATCAGACAAAGAAATAATCCAATAAAGACTTGGTTGGAAGAAATGTTGGGTCTGAAGATAGATCCCAGACCAGGACTGTTTTTACTGGGAATGATAGATGGGAAGTTTAACAAAGGAGAGACATATCTAATGTTGCATATTATAACAGCAGCAAGGTTGGTGTGTGCCCAGAACTGGAAAAATGGAAATTCCCTGGTGGAGAGTGAACGAATTAAAAAAAAAATTGATATGTGCAGAGATGGATAGACTAACTTTAGAAATCAAAGACAAGGATGAAACAGAGTATTACGAAGTTTGGGATCAGATGTATTATTGGTTAGACTCAAGGAGAAAAAGTCAGAACAAAGAAAGCTCGTCTAGAAGAGAGAAAGTGCAGATTTTCAACCTCAAAGTGAGCGTAAGATAGAGATCAGAAAGAATATGAAATAAGAATGGAAATGGAAGTTATGTTGTAAATATGTATGTAAATATATAATATGTAAATAGTATAAAATGCAATATGTAAATGGTATAAAAGATCAATGACTAGGGACATATATGGTATATGATATAGGATGTATGGCAAAATAACAGCCAGAAAAGTCACACTGTGTTCAACCTGTTTTTAAATGTTTACTCAATAAAAATTTAAATAAACAAACAAAAAAAGAAATAATCCAATTGGAAAAACAAAGACATGCCGCCTGCCCTCAGGAAAGTCAAGGGAGGATCTCTAACTATTTTGTACTGTTGCCTTATTCTTCTCAAATCTCCAGCTCCCCCAAATGTTGGGCAATCCCACCCCACAAAAGGTGGTCCAGATCTATCGTGCTTGAAGTCCCACTTTCAAAGAGAATTGAACCAGAGACCTCCTTTCTTTTTGAGGGTTTTCATAGGAGAACCTTTCATGCATTGCAGCTGATCCTGACACACATCAGCTTTTACGATGCTGGCCAACGGCTGTTTTCTGCGCAACAGATGATGCAAGTGTATCTCCAGGGTGAAAAGGGCTTTCAAATTCCATTGCAGAAAAGAACAGTCATAGCCTGACAAGTATCAGAGCCTTGTTAAAGCAGTGTGTGTGTGTGGGGGGGGCGGAAACGCCATACTGCGACACTCTTGCTTGATAGTGAGATGGGCAGCACATAAGTTTAATAAATAAATAAACCGGTGTGCCTCTTGTCACTCATTCCAAGGCTTCGGCATCTTACCTGCGTAGTGGCGAAAGCTGTGTTCTGTCCCCTTCCATCAAGAAACTCTCAGTTGCCAAGGTAAATTGAGAATAATCTTCTTTGTTTTGCTTGCTATTGCTTCTGTGGTCAAAATGTACACTTTATCATCCAAAAGTATTGACTTAGCTATATTGGATTGGTGCTAAGACATTAAATCATTCTTTGCTGAGCAGTGGTAGTGCAAAGGGGATGCAGATGGAGATAAACAGCATCTACATACCATTTAAAAGAGAGATTCAAAAAGCTAAAAAGGAAAGCCAAAGACCAAAACCCCTCCTCGCCAACAATCAACACCCAGATAAGCAGGAATTAACACTAAGATTTTGAAACTCAAATACTTTGGCCACCTAATGAGAAGGAAGGACTCGCTGGAGAAGAGCCTAATGCTGGGAAAGATGGAGGGCAAGAGAAGAAGGGGACAACAGAGAATGAAGTGGCTGGATGGAGTCACTGAAGCAGTAGGCGTGAGCTTCAATGGACTCCAGAAGATGGTAGAGGACAGGAAGGCCTGGAGGAACGTTGTCCATGGGGTCACGATGGGTAGGACACGACCGCAATTAACAACAACAACAACACTAAGATTAAACTAGACCAACAATCAAGCAGTAAACAACATCCCAATCAAGGAACCACCAACTCAGACAATCAAACTGTAATCAACAATCTAATCAAGCAACCACCAAGAACATTTCCAGCAACAGTGACAAGGCAAGCCATCTGTATATAAACAGAGATAAACCCCACTCCCTTCTAACACTGATGATGTTACTATTTGGGTAATGGAATGTCTGCAAGAAAACCACCAAGCTCAAAGAGCACCAAAGACCCCACAGTGCTCCTCCTCCTCCCTGCAAGTCCCAGTCCCTTCTAGCACTGACGATGTTACTGTTTGGGTAATGAAACGTCAGCAAGAAAACCACCAAACTCAGAGAGCACCAAGGACCCCCCCAGGAACAGATCTTTCTAATGGCCCTTAGACTTCTAAATGCCCCTAGGAAACTAGGCCTGAATCTGATTAATATCTGAACATTCCAAGAGATTCTGTAGCAGTTTTGTTTTAGAGGCAAGACTTTAGATGAAAAGAAACATCATCTGGCCAGATCAGTGTAGGATCTGAGAAAGTGAAATAGTCCTCTGGGTTTAAAAGCGTTGTGCTTGTGCGGCGGACATGATTTGGAAAATAAGCAGTGGTCCCCGTGATATTGTTCTTTCCACATCTGAAGGACCACATGCTCTCCATCCCTGCTGTGGCTTTGAGACGAACCAAGGCCGCTGTGACGTTTTGAGTTAGAAAGGGAATGGCGGCCAATGAAAATTTGCCTGGTACAATCAGTTGCAAAGGCAATAGACTTGCTCCTATTAGTAGTAAAGGGGATTCCATGCCAATCCTCCCGCCACAGACTTCAGTCACCTCTATGACTCGTGAATTTTTTTCGTGGCCTCCCAGAAAAACAAAATTCAGAAAGAACTCAGCTGGTACCAGCCAATTTTGCAAGCTGCTCATTCTTGGGACATTTCAGTGGCAGGATCCCTGTGATCCTAGATTTGCAAAGATCATGTGGTTTGTTTTCCTTCCTTCCTTCCTTCCTCCCTCTCTCTCTCTCTCCCTTTCTTTCTTTCTTTCTTTCTTGGATGGCTGTCTTTAACAAGAAAGGGCAGACAGGCAAAGAGTCTGGTATTTGCTGAAACATTTTTGTATTTTTTTAATGCATTTATTGTATTTCTGTGGTTTCCAAACGGATGGCTGCTCCCAAAGGAATGGCATCCAGTCAAAAGACATTGCACAGCTCTTTTATGAAAAGAAAAATGGGGGGGGAGCAGTGGGAAAACACATTACAGGGTGTCCAAATAAAAGATGTCCTCATCTGAGTCCTCAGAAAAATTCCAAGAAATGAAGTAAGGGGGTTGCATAATAAATCCTTCTTTCTTTCTTTCTTTCTTTCTTTCTTTCTTTCTTTCTTTCTTTCTTTCTTTCCTTTTCTTTCTTTCTTTCTTTCTTTTTCTTTCTTCCTTTTTCCCTTTCTTTCTTTCTTCTTTCTTTCTTTCTTTCTTTCTTTCTTTCTTTCTTTCTTTCTTTCTTTCCCTCCCTCCTTTATGAAACAACTCAAAATAGCATTCATAGTAACAGCTTTATAGGGATACAAACAATAATATATTGGTAACAGTGGGACTGTAATTCTTACCTCTTTGATAGATTTCAGATACTTGAATTATACACAAGAAAACCAGATGTGTCCTTGAAAAACAATGTACTCTTTCCAAAGTCATGTTGACAATCAGATTAATTTCAGGCCAAAATATGGCAACAGGACAATAAGCTCAAACCATAAGCACACCAACCCAGCCACTGGCTTATCCCTCCAAATCTTAATGTGCATTTTCCTGCTGCCTTGTGGACATCCTTGCAGCTGGCATCCTTAAACTCACAAAGAGGTCCATGAGCCAGCCTGTGCCTTGTCCAGCTCACTGGGAGGGGGAGGAGGGAGGGAATTCTGGAAGTTGAAGTCCACAAGTCATAAAAGGGCCAAGTTTGAAGACCCCTGCACTAAATGAATAGGAGTTATGATGGAGCTTTGTATTTAAGTTGGTCCAAAATCCCCAGTCATGTGTGTGCTCAATGCCTGACTCACAAATATAATGTCACAGCATGCTGCCATTGTGTGATCCCCATTTGTGATTTTATTTAATGGTTTCTCACAAGCAAAATCACCTGAAAAACCAGCAAATTAAAAAGTTACCAATCATGTGACATCCTTGCTTAACCACATATGGTGACTGGTGGACGGCAACTGGGAGTGCTGGAGTTGCCACTTTTAAGATGTGTGGATTTAAGTTCCCAGAATTCCCCAGCCAGAATGCTGTTGAAATCCACCCATCTTTCAGTGGCCAAGTGTGAAAAACACCGGCCTACAATCCATGACAAATGGTTCCTTTGAGTGCATTACTTGACCTTGAATTCCATAAAGACAGATGCCAGGAAGTTATAAAACTTGTGCAGCTGGAAGTCTTGAAAAGCCTCTTCTGGAATGTTCAGTGTCAGCGAGGCCAGACAGGCAGAAAAGAAAATTCTGCAGAGTTGAGAAAGAGATGCTTTGCACCTGCTCAGAGACTTTTTTTTTTAATTGAACTGGCTCAGAGCCTTGATGCTGTGTAAACAGATGTTGGGGGGATGGCATAATTTGCTGCCTTATTTTGATATTCTGCTTCCCTCTCGTTCTTGTGTAAGCGTTTGGTTTCCCACACTGGGCTGCAACAACTGGAACTCAAATTATGGAGAGAGATTCCTGCTGCCACCCAGGACCCGTGACAATCACAACAGTCTATTGTGTGCTTCGGTTGCCAAGGAGAATAACAATTTGTGCACTGCGTACTGGGTTTCTGATTCTGAACAGCACCGTGTGGAGATGTTGATAATGCAGATAAGATCACGTTTAGAGGAAGAAGGTAAGGGACAAACCTCAAACCACATTTAAACTTTTGCAGGGACGACCCTGCTGGTAAATGAACTTTGGGGATGAAGAAACACATTGAATTCCATATTCTTTGTGGCTTCACTCCCAGGTCACACATCTCGCCCCTACGTGCCACACCCCTCCAGGCTCCGCCCCTTACCTGTCAGATGATACCTTAGCCACATCCCCAGGCAATTTGAGCCAAAGGCAGGGGCATCAAAAGAGTCAAGATGGTGGCTGTGACTGTGCAATTGAAGCCCCACCCTTTTTTATATAATGTGGAGCACAAATCCATGTTTACCGTATCGTGGTTTAATGAAGAAGCAATAATGGGAGGGGATCACTAAGGTTTATGGCAAGGCGTTGTACACATTAAAAAATAAAACTACAGAAAAGGCCAGCAGTGTCTCTGCAGAGGAATGAGTCAAAAAAGTCAAGATGGCTGCATACACATAAAAAGGGGAGGAGCTTCAGCACCAGCAATCATCTCAACTGTATTGACACTACAGACATGGCTGAAACCCCCATTTACTTGGTGCGATGTGTAAAGCCAATTGTACAAACTCTGCACATTCTTAAACTTTCACACTCTCTGCTGCAGTTGCACATTAGTACAAGGTGGTTGAGCTATGCTGTAATTCAATTCATTTTGCTCTGGCTGGGCACAGGATCAGCAGTTCCCCCCCCCCCCCACTGGGGTCACACTTTAATTTTTGCAGCCTGACAGGGGACTCGGAACATATGAACAAGGAAAAAAGAAACCCTAGCATGATAGGTGATGGTTGTGGTTGACGGCAGGCTCAGCGTTACAAATGGACTTTAAAAGTCATCAGCTGTTCAGTCCCGGCAGTGTCAATTTTGGAGGCAGGCAGAAGTGATGCCCTGCAGCTATCAGAGGTTTGAAGCAAACTCTTCAGAGGAGCATCCCTGAAAATGCAGTTCCCGGGTGCTAAGCAGCTGACATTATTAAATAGATAAGTACAGAGTCTCAAGAGAAGATTTGTCAGATTTAATTCTGACTTTGTGTAGCGTCTGCAATTTCTCTTTCTCTCTCTCTCTCTCTGTTTGAGAGAAAGAGACACACAGAGATCCAGAGGAAGAATCGGTCACTTTTTCCCAGTTAATGAGAAAAAACAGCAGGTTCCCAACTGAACAAAAAGCCAACATCAGCAGGGGAAGGTAGCACTCACTTTGCCTTGCCTTTTCTTTAGCTGCCTTCCAAAAGCAGCTTGGGTTTTTAATTCCCCCTCCTTCCATCACTTGCCAAGACACTTTGATGATGGAGAAGAGACCTTCCAGGTACTTCCTCTTGATTTGCATCATAAAACATAGAATAATAAGGTTAAAAGGACTGAGGAGGTCTTCTAGTAGTCAACCCCACTGCTCAAGCAGGAGAACTTATACCATTCCAGACAAATGGCTGTCCAGTCTCTTCTTAAATACCTCCAATGATGGAGCATCCACAACTTTTGAATGAAAACTGTTCCACTGGTTAATTATTCTCACTGTCAGGAAAATTCTCCTTAGTTCTAGGTTGGTTCTCTCCTTCATATGTTTCTATCCATTGCTTCTTGTCCTGCCTTCAGGCACTTTGGAGAATAGGCTGACCCCCAAATCTCTGTGACAACCCTTCAAATATTGGAAGACAGTAATTATGTCCCCTCCCAATTCTGGACATACCCAGTTCCTTCACCCACTCATTGTATGTTGTAGCCTCCAGCCCACTAATCATCGTTATTGTTCTCTGCACTCTTTCTAGCGTTTCAACATCTTTTTTGTACCATGGTGACCAGGATTGGGTGCATGAATCCACGTGTGGCCTCACTAGTGCAGTATAGAGTGGTACTGTCACTTTACGTGATCTTGAAATCACCAACTGCTTCCCTGCCAAGGGAGGCTTCGAACTCAGGGCTTCCAAATTTCTAGGCCAGCACTTTTTGCCATGCCATCAAAGGGGCTCTTATAAAAAGACGTTTCTGCTTCATCTGGTGATGGAAAATCTAAAACCTTATTTCTTGAAAAATTCAGCTGGTCCAAGAGGAAAATGTTGGGGGAAAAGACAATTGTGCATTCTTGCATTTGAAAAAAACTTGAGAACTCTGGTCTGAGGAATGAAATACAGTCTTTAAACTAGACAAATCGTGTGTTGGGAACTGCCCTTGCTTTGAAAGAAGCTTCCACTGTGGATAACGTTTCATAAACATTATAAAAAATAATGTTTCCGCAAAATAAACTCTGGTAGATCTGGCAAGTTTCAAACCTGCTCACCGTTTTTTTTTTTTTTTGTCTAAAGTCAGGCGCTGAAGAGAATCTCTTGATATTCTTTAAACTGCCAGCACCATCTTGTGGTCGAAAAGGAGTAAAAGAATAACAGAGTAATAGAGATGGAGGTCTTCTAGTCTAACCCCTTGCTCCAGCAGGAAACCCTACATCAATCCAGACAAGTGGTTGTCCAGTCTCTTCTTAAAAGCCTCCAGTGCTGGAGCACCCGTAACTTCTGCTTAATTGTTCTAATTGTCAAGACATTTCCCCTTAGTTCTAGGTTGCTTTTCTCCTGGATTAGTTTCCATCCATTGCTTCTTGTCCTGCCTTCAGGTGCTTTGGAGAATAGGTTGACCCCCTCCCCCCATCTCTATAGTATCCCCTCAAATATTAGAACACGGCTATCATGTTTCCCCTGGTCCTTCTTTTCACTAGACTAGACTAGACATACCCAGTTCCTTCAACTGTTCTGTATATATTTTATCCTCCTGCCCTCTAATCTTCTTTTGTTGTTCTTTTCTGCACTCTTTTTTAGGGTCTCAACATCCTTTTTATAATTCAGTGACTAAAACTGGACGCAGTATTCCAAATGTGTTCTTACTAAGGCTCCATTCCTGCATGGCAATTTCATCTACAGAATTTTTTTCCATTGACACGGATGAAAAGTGTCATGGGTAGGCAAACGTACTGTGAGAATTCACCCTTCCTCCCTATACATTTTGCCATCCCCAAATCCCAAAACTCCCTGTCTGGGTAACAATGGAACTGAGTTGTAAAAAAAAAAGTGCTTCAATTCTGTCAGTGGAAATTTCACTACAAGCCCTCCTCCCCTCTCCAGAAAAATAACCATCCTTTGAAATAGAACGTAGTGGGATGGCTAATCTGAAAAATCAATTCATTCCTTTGCAAAAAGAATACTGAATCTGGAAGTAGCCCTTGCTGCAGGTAATCTAGGTGTGTTTGAAAAATGGGCTTGATGTGGATATGTGGTTGGCCTTTCTTGAACTCAAGAGAGACATTGCTGACCTGGAGACTCCTATTCTTGTGGTTTCCAGTCTCTCTTTGGAATATCATCCCCATGGAGAATAGACTGTTTCCCACTGTGACACTCTTTCGCAAGGCCCTGAAGACCTGGTTTTGCCACATGAGCCTGGGGAACCCAGAATAGGGTGGAGCCCATGAAGTGGCTTGTTTGTTTGATTGATTGCTGTTACCAGGGCGCATGTGGGACTATTGCTTTTACTATTTGTATGTTGGGTTTTTATTTTCTGTAAGCCACCCAGAGTCATTGAAAGTGAATGGGCAGCCATATAAATTCTCCGTATGAAATAATAATAAGAAAGGCCAGCTGTAGGGCAGCATGGGGTTTAACAGTCCAGTTTTACATCACTGCGCATGTAAAAAGAGGCAGGGCTTTGGTTCCATAGTTATGGCCACCATTTTTACTTTTTTGACCCCCCCCACCCCCAAAGACACCCCTCTTTTCCTGCCAAATACGACCATGTTACAACCCAGCACCTTTCTTCAACAAGAAAAGCCATACTCTGAATTCCCCTAGTGGGAAGAGGGAGCTTATCACGGATTTATTGAAATTATGATTTCTAAAGAGATCGAGGGACAGATTCTAGGCAGGATATTCAGACCAGGCAGAAGAAAGAGCAAGGTCAGCTGGTCAGAACACACACACAAAAAAGAAACTGGCTTGGAAAGGAGCATTGTTTACTGATACAGAAGATTCCAGAGATTTCGCTCACCCAACTTCAAGTCGGCATCTCTCCACAACACACAGCAGCCACATCTGGGTTGCCCGAAAGGCACTTGCTTCAAGAACGACGTTGGATGAGCTACAATCTCTCTTCGAGAAGAATTCACTTATTCTGGGGGGGGGGGAAGGGAAGGATCTGCAGAAGCCAAGACTGTTGTTCCTAGCTGAGCCCCACTTCATTACCGCTGTCTTCCTCGGGCTGAGCCAAGTCCTTTTGCCCATCTTCTTTCTCTACAAAGTTGAGGATGCGACGATTGGCTTGGATCAAGTACTGTTGTTGGCGGAAATACACTTTCAATGCTCCCTTGATGGCCACGAAGGCAATGCCACCCTACCAAGAGAGAAGAGAAGGGAAGGGAATTAAAGGAGAGACGGTGGATCGACCTTCCTCGTTTGGCTGCTCTCCAAGATTGTCATCTTCAACCTTTACAGCCCCAGCTAGCTAAATTTAAAACAATCAAATCAGGATTGCACGAATAACAGAAACACTCTAAAGCAATCCTTGGTCTTCAGACCAGGACTGATTTGCAGCACGTTAGGAACCCACCACCCAAGCAAGTAAAGCTCCATCTATGCTTGTGAGGGATATAGTATTTTACGAAACCATTCCTCCTGCCGCTGGTCCGTGGAAAAAAACTGCCTCCCCCAAAATTGGTCCCTGATATCAAAAAGGTTGGGGGCTGCGGTTCTAAAGAACACCACAGCCTAATTTGAGCTCCAAGCCTGGAGGAACAAAGTGGTGATGTAACAGACAGAAGGAATAAGCTTTCTTGTCCCTTCTGTTATTCCAGCCACTATCAGACAATGATTAGATAAAGGACATGTGAGTCTAAGCCAGAACTATAACCTGAGAAAGCCTCTCAGGCAAGACCTGCCCTAGTTCTCCCTAAGGGAGATTGGGGGAAACGTATTCCAAGTTGCAAGACTCTATTACAATAGTTCTATCACAAAAAACAGCGTTAGCCTATTTATTTGACTTTGCTTTCCTAACCTGGTTTACCTTGAAGAGTTGATCCCAAATCTTGCAAGTGTCAATGCGCTTCCTCCCTCCCTTTATCTTTGCAAGAACTAGGGCAAGTCCTGTCTGGAATGCTTTTTCAGATTACAGTTCTGGCCCAGATTCAGACCTCTTTTATCTGACCATTGTCTCGGTAATGGCTTTTTCTTGTTTTCCTCAAGTTATTCCCATTACGTTTCTTCAATGGAGACTGCTGAAAGATGACTAGATTTTAGTTGACCTTATAATGTTTATGTGTGTTTATAAGGGAGAGGGAGAGAGAAAGAGAGAGAGAAAGAGAGGGATGCTCAATAGCAAACGACAGGGATTCCTTACTGAATGCAGTTGGACTGTCCTGGGACCAGTTCTGGGGAAGGCAACCCAAACCTTTAACGCTGCTAATGGCTTTCTTTCCGTTCATCTCCTGACTCACCAGGATGGTACGTTGGAGGTTGGAATTGACTCTCTGAAAAGTGACCCGGCCCACAAGGTTGGCAATGGTTGGGAACACCAGGGCCCCACACAAGGTGCGTGAGATGGAGAGGTGATCACTCTGGTAGCGTGACTCGGCCAGAGGTATCGATGGGATTGGACGACTGGTTCCTGAGGAGAGAAAACAGGAGACTAGACCACTCTAAAAGGACTGGATTCCCAGATTCCAGGGACTGAACTGCCCATCTCTTGGCTTCATTATAAAGCCTTAATGGGTGGTCTACAATGGCGATTAGAGCCAGCAACTGGTCCTGTTATTCTCCTCTGCAGTAGGTGTCCACTCAGACACCAACACACAGAAAAGATTCTCCTTTGGACATTGGCCAGAGATTCAACCTTGGTGCTCATTTATGGGATTCCTCCAAAACACAAATCCACACTTGAACACACGTACCCAAAACAAAAATCCAACGTTCTTAGTCCTTAAGGTGAAAAAGATATGCTTAAAATCGGACTGTGCCAGGTAGAACGAGACTCAAGTTGGTTGCTTAGACCAGGGCTTCTTGGGTGCACAGCTGCTTCTCCCTCCCCCCAAAAATGATGCAAAATTATTCCTTTTGCAGGACTTAAAACCCTGGTGCACCATCTCTGATGTGGATAAGGATGCAGTACACATCACTACTGGCTTAACTCCCTTGCCATGTTTCTCAGTCTTGAAAATGTGTGGACTTCAACTTCCAGAATTCCCCAGTCCCGTTCAACTCCCACGCTGAAGCTCTGTTAAAGTTGTGGGAGTTGAAGTCCACAATTCTTCAGGTTGAGAAACACTGCTCTCCTGAGTCAAATGCATGGCCAAGGGTTATTCTGCTGCCACCTTGGTTGTTTGACACCTCTCCACTTGCAGATGCCCCCCCCCAGGATGCGAAAAATCAACTCCATTCCCCTCCCCCCCATCCCTGTCCATATCACTTCAAAGTAGGAGCCCAGAACTCAAAAGAAAAACACACTAACCTGGAACCCAGGAATGTAGGGCCTGGAGCTTGCTAGAATATTTCCGCCACACTCGGAGCACGTAGTCTTCCCAACGGATCATCTTGCCGAGCACCAGCATGACTGGAATGGTGGGCAGCCCCATGAGCAAGAAGAGGGGATCAGCTCGCTCCATCACATCCAGGCCCTTCTTATGGCCGACCACCTGTGGCGTTGGAGAGCCGGATGAGTGAGGGATTAGGAGTTGCACAAGCCTTGGGCAGGCTGAGATTCGAGTCTCGGCTCAGCCAAAGAAACTCTCTGGGAGATGCTGGGCAGGTCAGTGTCACTCAGCCGAACCTACCTCGCTGGGGGGTTATGGGGAAAATGGGAGATGGCTTGAGCTCCTGAATGAAAGGTGGGATAGTTGTGCTAACACACAATTCAAAACCATATTTTATAGGAGAGCCAGTGTGAGCAGTGGTGAAGACGGGATTCTTGGTGCTCCTTGAGTTTGCTTTCTTGCAGACGTTTCAGTACCCAACTTGGTAACATCATCAGTGCTAAAGCAGAGTGGGGTTCGTTCTCTGTTTATATACCAGTGACTTGCGCTATCAATGTTGGTGGGAGTGTTTAAGGAATCAAGAAGAAACAGCCTAAGGCTCTGGACTTCACCATGTTCTGCAGACTAACATAGTCATTGGGGGGGGGGTGTCTCTGCAGAGGGATTCGGAAGGGAGGGCAGCCTTTCCTGCTGCCACATCAAGTCTTACCTGCATCACAGTCACAGCTCCATAAGTCACTGCCGACCAGTACAGTGTCCCCACCACAATGCCCGCAGCAGCAAAAGGGCTCACTTTGGATAAAATACGGTCCACTTGCTGCAGGAAATAGACTAGGGGTCCTGCAAAGAGAAGACAAAGCATCCAAAGAAGTCCTCGTGGACCAGAAGCCAGCCTATACACCAGTGGCTCCCAATCTTTTCGGCTTTGTGGACGGTGGGGGGGGGGTGAGAGGGGGGAGAAGAGGAAATGGTTCCATGTGAGCTTCAGGCGCGCGCAGCTCAATTTACACGAGGGGTGGGCACGTACGCGCACACGTACCCACCGCTCACGCAAATGGAGCTGCAAGCACACGCTTGCCTGCCACTTGTGCGGCCCGGTTCTGAGCAGGCCGTGGCCTGGGGGTTGGGGATCCCTGCTGTATAGAGCAGAATCCTAAACCAGGAGTCAAAACCCCACTTCTGTGCCACATTCAGAAAACAGACTTACAAAAGTTCGAAGTTACGACTGTTCGAAGTTACAACGGCACTGGAAAAAGCGACTTGTATCTCATACTTACAACCACTGCAGCATTCCCCTGGTCACATGATCAAAATTCAGACGCTTGTTGCTTTTTTCAGTGCCGTTGTATTTTCAGTCACTAAATGAATGGTTGTTAAGTTGAGGACTACCTGCATAAGTCTCATTGGTCCTGAGCAGTATTAGACCAGGGAAGGAAGAGGGGGGGAAAAAATCTTGAATCATCCATTATTGGAAAGATCAATAACAGTCATTTGAAATCTCCAATGTGTCTATTTTGTGCAAGCCACACCAATCTAGTGGAGAAGACAGAGTTTGCAATGACTCTGGAGGAAATGCAGTGTTTATTCAGCACCTGATTCCACTTCAGTGAAATGGGGCATTGATCCAGCAGTGATTGGGCCTTTCCTGACCAGGTCTACACTCACCTACTTTGGGAAAGACGATGCAGTACTCAGTTCCACACTGGGGACAACTCACACTTCCAATACTGTTGCCCTTTTGCTTCTCATCCAGCCATCGTTGGAGACAGGCCTGGTGAATCCACTTGGTGGATCCTTTGCAACGACAAGGACAGACCCACTCGGCCGACCGGTCATCACCTTCGGTAGCAAAACACACCCAGCAATGCCTGGGAGACAAAGAGAGAGAGAAAAAGAGAAAAGAAGCGTTGAAGGAATGCAGAGTGATCCCTATCTCCACTTTGTCCTGCTAAATCAAAAGAGCAAGCAGGAAGATCAAAATTTTCCTGTGATAAATGATTGGAGGGAGACATAGTTAGGACTGCAAGGCATTCAAACCAGTCAGTCCTAGAAAGATCAACCCCGACTGCTCTTTAGAAGGCCAGATCCTGAAGTTGAAACTCAAGTACTTTGGCCACCTAACGGGAAGGAAGGACTCACTGGAGAAGAGTCTAATGCTGGGAAAGATGGAGGGCAAGAGAAGAAGGGGACGACAGAGAATGAGGTGGCTGGATGGAGTCACTGAAGCAATAGGTGTGAGCTTCAATGGACTCCAGAAGATGGTAGAGGACAGGAAGGCCTGGAGGAACGTTGTCCATGGGGTCGTGATGGGTCGGACACAACTTCGCAATTAACAACAGCAACATAGTTAGGAGACTTTTCCCCCAAGAAGAGATGTAGATCTTGGGCGAAGTGGTGGAGGAAGCCAACTGTATAAGATGAGGTTCTGTATGGCACCGAAACTATCCTGTAAAAGGCTTGGGGTTTTTTTTTTACCCTGTTCTGGTTAACTTTGGGCACCTGATGACTGTTGCTTCCAGAAAAAAAAAATCCCTCAATTGTCAAATGTCTGGCATGGGATTTGACAGCTGCACTTTGCAGGGTCTTTGTAGAACAGAGTACGTACAATTCTCGGTCAGAACACCTTTGGCTTTTCAATAATATGCTATTCTGCCAAAATAAGGCAGAGACCGGGCAAAAATCATGGAGTTGGAAGGCCTACAAAGATCACTTAGTTAATCCAACCTTCTCCAATGTGCAGGAAAACCAATTAAACCATCCTTGAGAGTGTTATCCAGTTTCTTCTACAAACCCTTGAGAAATGAACAACCTGCAACCTTCCAGTTTTGTCTGTTATAACCAGGAATTTTTTCTTTACAGTATATCGAAATAAATTTAGGTGGTTGCAATTTCAATATCTGTTATTTCAGATCTGAACTTCTGTGGCTGTAGAAAATAAAATTGGGTTCAATTTCGTGGATGTTAACTTGCCCTTCCTCTCACACTAACTATTATGGGACTTTTTTACAAGTCCAGAAAAAAAGAGACAACATTTAAAGGAGAATATTTGCAGCTCAGGGCTGAAACAAAGGGGTCCTTGGCGCTCTCTGAGCTTGCTTGTTTTCGTGCAGATATTTCGTTACCCAAACAGACAATGATTTGGATATGGAGCTGTGCCAAGTCTAAATGACCAACTGGTCTGAGATCAACTTGTACTCTGCCAAAGAGTTGGATCTGCCTCTGGAATCTGCTTCTGAAGTGAAGCCAGTTTCTCGTATTCATGAAATGATGCAAAGATTTCTAAACAAACCCATGGTAGTAATTATGTATCTGAATTCTAGTGCTGAAAAATGTTAATATCAAAGCTGGTCTCACAAGTTTGAACCACACCTTAGGCCCAGGATGAAGTTGAAATGAGACACACCCAGCGTGTCCCAGTTTTGCCACACATGGCCTCATGGTTTAAAGTACTACCTCAACCATTTTTACGTTGGAAGGTTTTATGTTCCCAAATAACAAGAGTCAATTTGGTCTGGTGGGACAGGAGGCCAGAAAACAGAAGCCTATGGGTTCGAGTCCCACCTTAGGCATGAAAGCCAGCAGGGTGACTCTGGGCCTGTCACTTTCCCTCAGCCCAGCCCACTTCACAGGGATGTTGTGGGAAAAAGAGAAGGCAGGACTATTAAAAATGTTCACCATGCATAAAGGAGGGGATAGCAATCCAATAATAATAATAATAATAATAATAATAATAATAATAATAATAATAATAATAATAGGAAGACTGAGGCTGAATAGTTACTGAAAGGATAGAGACAGCCTTAACAAACTACCAATATGACATTTGAATTGGGAACTTTTGTGTTTCACCATTAAACTTTCTCAGCCGAAATGCCAAGAATCGTGGGAATTGAGAGGCAGACATTTTCAGCACAGGGATGTCAGTTATGAATGTCAACAACCAACAGCTATCCAGCTTTGCAGAAAAAAAAAAAAGGTTACACCAGTGTTTCTCAACCTCAGCCATTTTAAGATGTAGTCTGGACTTCAACTCCCAGAATTTCCCAGGAGACATGCATTCATGGTGATGGAGGAGAAGATCTGATTTACTGGCTTCTTTCTACCGTGCAATTAAGATCTTTATCTAGCTGTTTCATGGACTGGGGAGGCTTCAACCAAGTATGAGTCTTTAGCAAAGCTGCGGAGTTGCAAAGCTGTGGAGTTGAAGGTCAAGGAAATGCTCTCTTATTAAAAGTGTACACTTTCTTCAAGCTAAAGATGTTCGTCTTACTTAAAACATTCTCTTATGCTTTGGGAATCTCTTTCTCTTGAAATCATGCTGAACTCACCATTGTACCATACGAGCCTAATCTTGCAGTCTGCTTGGAGAATTAAAATTTCTCTTGCATATTTTTTTAAACCAAGTAGCAGTTATTCCCCTCTAGCAGTGAATATTTACATTCTTAGATATTTACAGTGAGAAATATTTGTTTATAGTATATTTTCCTAACAGTTGGTTTTTCTTTATCTGTGAGACTGGCAGGGTGTGGAAGGACCTAGTGCAGGGGTGTCAAACTGCCGACCTGCGGGCCGGTTTCATCATACCGGAGCTGCGCCCACCCCATTGCCGGCAATGGCGAAAAAGCTCCAATACGTCGCGCGACGTCACGAGTTTGACATGCCTGACCTAGTGTTTCTCAAACGTACAAATTTAAGATGTGTGGATTTCAACTCCCAGAATTCCCCATCTCCTAAACCTTCTGAAATGATTTCTTTTTTAAAAGATGTCGGATGGCGCCAAGGTGATACCATCAGAAAATACGTGATGACAGTGGGAATAACCAAATTACTATCCCAAAGCAGGAGGTGAGATAGAAAATCTCAGGAGAAGATTTGTAACCCCTGGGCCTTCTATTCTATAGGCACAACTGTCCCACTACACAACGCTTTACCCATCTGCATGACATGTTCCAAAAGTGCTTTTTCCAAAAGGCAACTTGGTTTTTTTCTTGGTTCCCCCCCCCTTTCTCCTTTTTCCATTTTGCTTCTCATCCAACCCAGTTCTGAGTTAACTAAGTTAGAACTGAAGAAGCTTCTTGGATGAGAAGCGAAATGTTGTCAAGGGAAAAAAACCCAAGGAAGTCCACTTGCCTTTTGGAAAAAGCACCTTTGGGACAACAGACCTGATTGCTAATCTCCATAGTCATTTGCATAACATGGAATAACTGGAATAAACCTAACCCTCTCCATCCTTCCGTGCTGACTCTTCATTTGCCTCCAAGCGGTTGTTGCCCAAGTGAGAGCTACAGAGCTCAGCGATCAGCATTAAACAGAAAGTGGGGCAGATGCATTGGCTCCTCAAAAAAACCAGCCGGGACCCTGCAATCTAGTCGTGCCCCGGCTGGGTGACCTTGCACCAGCCGCTCTCTGAAAGCTTGCAGGGCAAATCCCCTCCACATTCTTGCCAAGAGAACTGCAGGGCCTCCTCCAACCGTCCCCGCGAGTCAAGGCTGACTCGAAGGCGCATGCCGACGTGCGTATGGCAGATACCTGGCCAGAAACCTGGTCTGGAGCCCCGTTTGTACGGCAAAAGGGCTGCGTGCCGCGCACACGCACACGCACACACACGACCTACATAGACCCGGTATGGCTGAGCCACGGCACTCCACCAAGGTCGGCCAGCCCCGGCTCAGCCCGACCGGGAAGACGCGCGTCCCGGGCCGGGGAGGCGGACCAGCCCGGTCCGCGTTGGCCGGGTCCGACGGGGAGCGCGCAGAGTCCGGCCGTCCGGGTCTAGGACAGGCGCCCCACCCGCCCCTGCCCGGCCAAGACGCACCTCTCGGAAGCCTCTTGCGCCGCCGCCGCCGCCATGGCCGTCCCGTGGGAAAGTCCGCCTGTCCCGCTCAGCGTCTCCCGCAGGGCATCGCCGCGCCGAGAAGCGCCGCAGAGGTGCGCGCAAAGGCCGGATGAGCCCGGCGAGGCCTCTCGGCTTGCGCAAGCCCGCGCTCTCGGCGACGCCAGCCCGGCCCTCCGAGCTTCCGGGCCCGCCGAGAGACGCGCCGTTGGGCCGGCTCGCGCCTTCTTCGGCAACTGGGCGCCCGCCGGAAGGAAGGTCGGAGAGCCGGGCTCTTGGCAGGCCAGAAGTGGGTGGGTGGGGATCGCACAAGCCCCCTCCCGCCCCGCTTCACCCGGAGCCCAGCGCCCCGGGCAAAGGCGGGACTGCCTCTCCCATCGTCCCCTCCGCTGCTGTGCGATGGGGATGATGAGGTTTGGAGTACGTCGCCTGCAGCAGGGCCGGGAAGGGCCAGGCGGTTTATGCGAAATGGGGGGAAGGAACGGATTTGTTCCTAATACATAGAAACACTCAATTTTTTTTCTTGGTTTGCAATTTTGCTTGGTGCGGCTCAGTGGAATTTGGGGGACGGGCAAGGGATCAGGAATAGTAAAAGCGGCTACAACAGATTTCAGGGATGAGGTTCCTGAGCCACGGGGGCTCCCGGGTATGTTGGATGACAAATCCCATGAGTCCCTGCTAGCCTAAACATCAAGGATGGAGGCCACCAGGAGCATCATCATCATCATCATCATCAAGTTGGAAGGGAGCTTGGAAGTCATCTAGTCCAACCCCCTGCTCAGGCAGGAGACCCTATGCCATTCCAGACAAATGGCTGTCCAGTCTCTTCTTAAAGACTTCCAGTGTTGGCGCATTCACCGCTTCTGGAGGCAGGTAGTTCCACTGGCTAATTGTTCTCACTGTCAGGAAGTTAGTTCTAGGTTGCTTCTCTCCTTCGGGCAAAGATCTCAGGTTGGCAAGACAAGCTTGAGCCGTGGGAAAAATCCAGAGAAAGAAATATTTTGGGAAATATTACAAAGGCAGGAATCTTCATCAAGGCGAGGGGGCTCCCAGCTCACGTGCTGGTTGGGAATGATTGGAACTATAGTTGGAGAATAAACCTCGGGCCTTCGGCGAGGTTCCTTTCAGCTGCAGCCTCGTCACTTTATTAGGTACAATTGTCCTTTGCAATCTCTCTTTTCCCAAGCGCGGATCCCGTCGCCGGGCCAGTCAAGCCATTTCCCCCGCTCCGGAAGCCCCAAGTCAAAATAGAGCGCTGTCCCTTTAAGAACAGACCATGACCTCATTTCCCCCGCCCTTTCCCTCCTGTGCTTGTTTCACTCAGCTTGACACGGAAGGCCCGCCCTTTTGCGGTCCGGCAAGCCAATGGCGGGCGGACCCTCAAGCGGAAAGCGGGAGCTGCCGCCGCCCGTTGGCCGATGCCACTCACGTGTCGTCGCCGCCGACTGGGCGGCATGCTGTCAATCCGCCTTGTGCCCGCCTTCCTCCGTGGCGAAGGGGCGGCCGGGTTAGGGTGCGCGGGGCTGGGTGGTGGTTCCCGGGCGCCGGCGGCAGAGCTCCAGCGGCTCAGGCGGGCGCTCCAGAGTCCTCGCTCGGCCAGGCCCAGCGGCCCCGGCCATGGAATCCTACGATATCATCGCCAACCAGCCCGTGGTCATTGACAACGTAAGCCTGCAGCCCGGCCGAGCAGCCTGGGGAAGAAAGAGCCGCGCCCGGCAGGGCTGCGGCGGCGGCGGAGGATGAGGTGCCGGAGCTGGGTGGGGCCTTGGCCGTGGCCCAGCGAGGGCCGGCCCGATCCCTGCCTCGGCTCTCTAGATTATAATAGAGATGCCGCGGATTCCTGGCTGATTCTTGCATAGGATGGCCCTCAAGGTTGGGGCAACGTTAAGCCAGGATGCAGAAACCCTAACTGGGTTTGTTTGGGGTCCAGCGTGTCGTGTGAATCCTGGTAATGCATGCGTGTTCAGAATCCCGGGATCAAGAAGGCTCGTGCTTGGTTGCCTGCAAGGAGCCCAGCCGCTCTGAACCCTGCGCGATTACTCAGCATTTAATAAAATATGTTTGATCACGATTATTCAGACTAGGGTTGGTTTGCACCAGGGAGCAAATAGTGCGCCTTGATGGAAAAAGGATGGGGTGGCCGCAGATGCCATGGATCGTCGCTTCCTCCTCCCGTCATATATTCAAGATGGACAGCATTTTATATTTATTTGCTATCTATATGGAGAGGGGGGGGGTAAGTCTACACATATGTTGTACATAGTATGCTTAGGTGTGTGTCATGTATGTGTTTCACTTGGAGAGCGGGCAACTGAATTTCATTTTTGATGTGTGCTGTTGTGCTCACAGTAAAAAAATGACAAGGTTATTTTACCTTATTTTACATGATGTTGCTCTAGGAAAGCGAGGTTATTATTGGGGTTTAAGGATATTGAGGAAGGTGGGTAGTCATCATTATCATCCCTCTCCCAACACCCCCCCATGGGTACTTCTGTTTAAAACATGGGATAGGATAGATTGTTGCTTGCTAAGGTCTATCTCCACATTTATGAAACCATCCAGATCTGGAAGGAGTCTAAGAACCATCCTTTGCTTTGCCTGGAGAAGGTTTAGTCCAGCCTTTGATGGCAGCCAAGGAGAGGTGGCCTCCTGGTGATGCACAGAGGCTCAGGGCCTCTTTCTTTGTCTTGAGGGTACCAAAGGCCTCCCTGGTTTTCCTTGGCAGCCAGTTGCATGTTCTTGGGAAGCCCTGAGTATCTCCAGCCGAAGCCACTTTCTGGTTTTGCTGAGCCACAAAAAGGGGGGCTGGAGGTATAGTATAAGAAAAGCAAGAGAGAGAGAGAGAGAAAGGCAGCTGTGTTGATCTTGATCGCGGTTCCTACTATTTTGTTCCATCCCTGCACTTTTTTTTTTTTGACAGCAATAGTTGCCCTGACCCAGTTGCTCTTTGGTGCTCCACCTGATAGGATTGTTTCCTGTGCTTAACTTCCTTGTGTTGAATGTATTCTTACTGTAGTGGCTGCTTAAATATTGCCATGGCTTGTGTTAATTCCTCTGTTTTCTTGTGGATGCTTTTTTTGCTCCTTTCCAGGTGAGCCTCAATAAGTGATTTACACACAGAATAGAATACTACTTGGTGAGTTCATAATAGCACTAAAATTTGGACTGGAGATTTCCTGAATTCATAGTTCAGTTTCCGGCTGCAATTGCACGTCTGCACATGGGTATGAGAGTGTGACCTGTTGAATTTGGTGCAGCTTTCTTCTAAGCCTATGTGAATGTGGTGTGGTTATTGTGCTGCAAGTGACAAACTTGTCAGCAACTTGACATTCATCACATCAGTTGGATTTGTTGTGTTTTTATTGCTAGGTCTGGACTTTTAAAGTGGACTGCAAACCAAATAGAAAATCCTATCTAAGTTGCCAGAAGAGAACAATGTAAAATTCTCTGCCACAAGTATCCCTCTGAGGTTTCCAGAGGTTTTTTTTCTGTAGACTATTATTAAATGTTATTCATAGCTGTTAGGCATTTCTTCTCTCTAGAAGAATGCAAAGTAATTTTTCCCAATTCCGGAAGTTGGAAGTACAAAGTGTGGAGCTTTCTGTCCCTCATTCAGCATATGACAGGCAGAGTGTTCAGGATGGGGATGGTTCCAGAAATAACATTAGTTGGAGGAAAAGATGATTTGTGGTGTTTTTGCCTTCTGTTTTTTATCCTTTGTTTTTCATTTTACACTTAACAATCCATAGTCACTGAGTGTGCCTGCCCCCAGGCTCACTACTATTCGTTTGGTCTCGTTGAACTTTCAGAGTTCCTGACATTTTCTGATTTATTCCCTGTTTTGTACATGTGAATAGAAATCCTACATTATAGTATACAGCATAGTGTTTTCTTATCTTTTTAAGAATTGGAGATTAAATTGATTTAATAAATAGAGTATTTTTAAGAATTTATTTGAGGACTGCCACAAAGATGAGGGAGGCAAACTATTTTCCAAAGCACCAGAAGCCAGGGAAAGAAGGAATGGATGGAAACTAATCAAGGACAAAAGCAATCTAGGAATTAAGGAAAAACTTCCTAACAGTCAGAACAGTTAACCAGTGGAACAGAAGTTGCCTTCATAAGTTGTGGGTGCTCCATCACTGGAGGCTTTTAAGAAGAGACTGGACAGCCATTCGCCTGAAATGGTATAGACTCTCCGGTTTGAGTAGGGTGTTGGACTAGATGACCTCCACGGTCCCTTCCAATTCTGTAATTCTATGTTCTATATCAGTGGTTCTCAACCTGTGGGTCGGGACCCCATTTGGGGTCGAACGACCATTTCACGGGGGTCGCCAAACAACGCAGTCCGCCATTTTTCCCTCCTTTTCCTTAGCTGTGCTACTCCCTTTTATTCTATTGGCTTTTGAAAGCCAATAATAGAATAGACTCTCTTGAACAGAGTCTAATTCTATTGGCTTTCAAAAGCCAATAGGAATTGTCCAGGCTGTCTCTGCCCTGCTGAGCCCGCCAAAAGTCCCATTCTGCAAACGGTGCTGCACCAGTTGAGTAGTCCTCGACTTACGACCGGCTGAGTAGTCCTCGACTTACGACCGGTTGGGGGGGGGGTCGCGGCATTAAAAAGGTTGAGAACCACTGTTCTATGTGCTATGAATACAGGGAAGTAGTTGCATTTATGTCTTGGCCAGGCCTGCTCCCTGTGGAGTGGTATAAAACTTGGATTAGCCCAGACAAATATCCCTTTTGCCACGCAATGAGGTTGAGAATAGCCTACTGGTCATGATACGTAAATATCATACAAAGAGTCATTATTAATGAATACTCTCGCTTTTATAAAATGTGTCTTTTTTTTTTTTTTTTTTTTTTTTTGCCCAAAAGTGCTTAGCACTTTTCTTTCTGGAGGCTTTTCAGGCATGTTTGCTCTTGTTGTAAATTATAATAAGAATATAAGAAATATATTGGGTAAGATGGAAGTAATTTTACAGATATCTTGGGGCTAACGAATTAGACTTGACCCATCCCTCTCTCTCTTAATTTTGTATATTGGGGGTAGTTCTGATGGGTGTGGCTACGAAAGAGACTTGCGGATTCATGCTGCAAAGAAATAATTATCAACTGGCTGGAGAGATTTTGGGCAATTTCATAGCTGTTCCCAGAGGCTGACGGACAAGCCGTTGCCCCCATCAAAGGGGAGAAAGGGAGGTTTTTCCTGCAGCTAAGTTGATCCCGTGATTCTCAGGCCTGTGTTGGATTATTAAATGGTGGTTCCTCTCGGGAGATCAAGGGCCCATCTCTACCCGTAGCAGAGGGGCGTTTTT